GGGTTGGAAACTTTCTTCTTTTGTGGAGGAAAAGATTGAATTATAGGAGATAGAGTTGTAGTTTTTGGTGCAGTAGAGGGATGTGTGTGCACAAGATATTAGAATTTTTTCTAATCCTTGTCTATGATTCACTGTAAAACCATAAGAAGGTGTTTGGGTGCAGTTCTTCAGGCTCTTTTTGGTAAGTGGATGTATTTTGACCCTTAAAAGGGTTAGACTGTAGGTGAAACAGGAAAGAGCTAAATTAGTCTCCAGCTGCCCTCCAGCCAGAGGAAATGGTCTTGCTACTTTTTGTGGTAGTGACCCAGCTTGTACAGGTAGGAAAATTGAAATATTTATTTAAATGAGCAGCCAGAATACAAATAAAAGCTTGCTCAGTTTATTCCACTTCATAACACAGCTTGTGCTGTGTGTTGTAAATACATACCCATGTGAAGTATTTTCCTTATCTTTGGGTTAGGAGTGCACACCTGGTTCATGCAGTTATATACCATGTGTGTCTGAACCTGGTGCCTCATGTCTGTGGATGTCCCTCTTCACACCTTTACTGTCAATTTTGTTATAATTGAGATGTGAACATGTTTTGTGGGAGGCAGCAGACCTGTACTGGCAGTACTGCTTTAAGGTTCTTGCAGCAGCCATGGGGAGATGTGGGTGTGTTGCAAACTTCTCCCTGTGCCTCATCCAGCCTTCTCAGCAGCCACATTTGCAGCCTGCTCTTTTGAGGGCTCTGGCCAAGTCACAGCACAGCCCTGCCAAAGATTGCTCTTTTTGGAGGGGGCACATGCTCTGCCACCTGGGACACTCTGGGGGAAATATCTTTGCCTGGGGTTGCTGCTGAAGAGTGTTGTCAAAGCACGGCCTGACTCCCATGAATTCTGCTGGAGCTGCTGGTTTGGAAATGTCTTGTTAAATTGTAAAATGGTGGAAATGAAAAATCTCACTGTGTTGCCACTGTTTATATTGCATGAGAAAGTGAGTACCACAGAGTATTAAAACCAAGTAGGGAGGTTAGGCTTAGTCACCTGCAGCAGATTTCCTCAGGAGAAGAAACTATTGAACCTTTATGCATGTTTGCTCCAGATTTTAGGTTTGCTTTAAAAATGTTGAGGTTAGCCATTGCTGTGACTGTACTTACCAGGCAGTTGCTGGGCTCCCTGTTCTTTTGCCCTTTGCTGGCTTATAGATGCAGATTTCCCCTTAGGTTTGCATTTTACTTGATTTTTCTGCTTAAGTTCCATTTAGCTTTTTACTTTGAAGCAGAAATAAATTTAGTAAGTTAAGAATTCACTGTTGCTTTATTGTGTGTATCAGAAAAACTTAATATTTTGGAAACTCAAGCCTATGAAAAGAGTTGAATTTCTTGTAAAGTAGAGCTTGCTTTATCCTTTAGAAGAAAACTGTTTTGCTCACTCTCTTCTGCCTCCTTTTTTTTGCAAGCCCATGTACCTTCTCATCCTTTATTTGAGGTGTAACTGTAGGACAGATTGTCTCCTTCTACGCTAAGGTATTGTCACAGGAAATGAGAAGGGTTTAGTTGCAGCTAAAAATTTGTTGAATAGTTCTGTATTGCTTGCTTATTCAAAATTCCCTGAAGTGGAGTGAGGAGGAGAATTGTTATTTTTGATGGGATAGCAGCTGCAGGAGTGAAAAAGCTGCATTTTAAGAAATATGGGAATGACAGCAGCTTAAAAATGGTAACACCTGGTGTGTTTATGTTTGTAAATACTAGAGAGCACTCACTGACTTGGCTTCACCTCCTTATATTCACCCCACAGTGCAGACAGAGGAACAGGTTAGTCTGTTTTGAAATGAGTTCTGCTGATGGGAGTCACTTTGTCCTTACAGTTGTCTGGAGTTATTTTTGGATTACATAAAAGGGGAGTGTGGTGCAGGTTTCCCTGCTTTTATCAGTCAGTTGAGACAGTCACGGGCAGCCCTGTGCTGTATTTACCATGCAGGGATAAATCCTAAATTCACCAATGTGAGAGACATGCCACTAACTCATGGTGTTTCCTCTGGTTGTAGAGAAGGTGCAGCTAGGGAAAACCCTGGGTTTTTCTACTAAGTAGTTTGAGGGTTAAAAGAACAAGTTGAGTCATCTCTCAGTAAGAAGAAGACCAAAAAGAACCCCGAGTTAGCTTAGCACTGGGATAAAAATGCTTCCTTCAGAGTTTAACCTTCTTGAGAGGTTTGGGTGAAAATTACTTGGTGAAAAAGATTGAAACTAGAATGAGATACCATGTAGAGAAAATAGGCAGTTAGATGGTCTTACATGGGCAGAGTAGTGCCAAATATTGAAGATCTGGGGGAAACAAACGTTTGGTGTTTCTGTACTGAAAAGTTCTGATTCTCAAAGCCAGTTCTTTGAGTGGATGTTTGACTGTAGGCAAAGGAAGGAGAGACTTCTTGGACTCAAGGAAGAAATTTTTGCAGTGAAGGTGGTGAGATGCTGGCCAGGGAAGCTCTGGATGCCCCATACCTGGAAGTGTTAAAGGTCAGATTGGATGGTGGTTGGAGCAATCTGAAAGATACTGAAAATATGTCTGTGCTCATTGTGGAAGGAGATGCATTAGGTGATCTTTAAAGGTCTCTTCCAACCCAAACCATTTTGTGATTCTAGTCTCTGCACCTCTAATGAATACTATGAGCAGAGTGGGTACAACTCCTGTGTGTCCCTGACACTTTTTGTACAACCCTTTCACCTGCCCTAGGGACAACCCAGGACCTGGAGTCCATATCTCCAGATGGAGTTGAAGTGCACATGCCTTTGAAGGACTTTGAGTGCTCTCCAGGTGCTTGGACATGGAAGGCTCATGGCATCCTTAGTTTGAAAATAAATTGGAGGATTTTTGCTTTTGAATTAGGAAGAGGAAGGCTCTTACGAGTTGGAAGAGGAGGTGAGGGTGGGAAAGTAAGTTGTACAAGTGTCTACTTTCAGTAAAAGAAAAACTGCAATTTGATTAAGCAGCATTCAGCTGTAGATAAGTTTTGTTTAGAGCTGTGGCAGCAAACAGCACATGCACACACAGGTTTGCTGTCTTCAACCTTATAGGAGGATTTCAGCTGGTTCAGAAGTGTCACCTCTTTGCTGGAGCTCCTGGTGTACCTGGCACAAGAGGAGCGTTCCTGGCACACAGCATCCTAAAATTTGACCTCTTATGTGTTAGTTTGAGATGTTGATTCAACCTCTGTAGGTGAGGATTGCTTTGTTTGACATTCCTGTGTGCTTGGATAGACAATATATAGGTGTACGCACAAAAAGTCCAATTCAGGTGGAAAATGCCCCCTTGCCAGCCCTGGCTCAGGGCTCACAGGCAGCAGCAAGGAGAGGAGCCTGGAGTGTGTGTTCCTGCTGCTGGAAACCTCTTTTTTTTTTTTCCCCCCACAGGATTTTTCCGTGCATTTTTTTCCCATGTATTTCTTTAATTTCCCATGTAGGTGACTGTTTAAGTCATGGATTGATCTTATTCTCTACTGATCTGAGCACAAAAGCAGGATTACTCTTAGTCAACAACAACTTTGGGTGTTAGTTAAGTAGCTAAATGTAATTGCTCTGTTATCTGTGATGTTTGGGTAGGGTTTTTCTGGTGATGGTTTTTTATTTTTTAGAATTTGGAAGGAATTCTGCTTTTTGGGTGTGGGGTAAAATTGGTGTTGCTTTCATGATAATACCTGTCTTCTGTGTAATCTGACCAGTTATCCAAATCTGATCCTGGGGTTTAATCTCATACGTCCTGACGTCCGTGATATGTTTCTGAGTAAACAGATCTTCCTTAACTTAGAAAGTAAATGATGAGCCTGACTTTCACGTCTTAAAGCAGAGTGCACTGCAGGCTGGGTTCTCTTAATCATTTATGCTTGCTTCATCTTCATCCAGCTGTTCACTCTGTTGTGCTGTAGCCCTAAATTTGCACGTCTGCTGTTGGAGTGTAGAGTTATCAACACTTGTGGTGTGCAGGAGACATGGACTAATCTGATGAGTCTTGTTTGCTCTATGGTAATTTCAAACAGATGCAAGTACTTATTAATCTTCCTTCAGTTTTATTCCAACTTCAGCAGGCAAGGCTCATTTATTTTGTTAATTTGCTGTGAATGTACTGTTGTTTCCTGTCTGAATTGCATACATCTCATTCAGCCTGAAGTTTTAATTTGAAGATTGTATGCTTGACATCTGAGGCACTTCAGCAGGGCTCGAAATTCCCCTTGCCATCTGTAGATGCCACAAGGCAGGTGCTTCCTTGGTGAAGCTGGTATATTCAAAATACATCTGCTAAGGAGGGCAGATGTATTTTAATACAAATAATGTTCTTCCTGCTGTCCTCTGAACAGTCTTCCTTTGATTCATTCAAGCCAAGGATGGATTTCTGTCTTGTTCTCAGTGAGTGCGTAACCTTCTCCTCTTCATCTGATGGAACAACACAAGCGTGGCAGGTGCAGTGGCCCAGAACTGTTCACTCTTATTAGTGTTTACAAATAACCTTCCCAGCGTGGAGAGTCCTCAGCAATCATTAAAGGAGTAAGAAGTGAGAGCTCTTGCCACCTCTCGAGCTATTCTGTCCCTCAGTATCTGAAGGCATGAATTTGTGCTGGAAATGCTGGGTGGTTTTAGAGGAATCCTCCAGTTCAGGTGGAAGTCACAATAATGTTCTGATCAGAACAGTGGGTTTTTTTCTGCTAATATTTTTCTTGCAAGTAGCTCTCATGCTGAGAGGCTGGAGAACGTCAGTTGTGTGAGTGTGTTTACGTGTGTGGGGCTCATAAAGCATCTAAGAATGTAAGAGGATTGCAGAGATTGAATAATTATCTGGGTTGCTGTATGGCTTTCACCCTAGGAATATATAAATATTTTGATTATACAGCATGTATCAGTTTGTTTTTAATGATTGATTCATGTTTAGAAGAGAGACGCTTATGGTTTATGTTTGCATTTTATACTTATTTTAATCATGCTTTGTTTTTGTTTTTGTTTTTTTGTTTTGGTTTTTTTTTAATTGCAGCAGCTGTTGCCGGGTAAAAAGTTTTGGGAATCTGATGATTCCAGCAAAGATGGACCAAAAGGGATATTTCTGGGAGATCAGTGGAGAGACAGTGCTTGGGGAACATCAGGTAGCTCAATTATTTACTTAATTTAGTTGGGGTTGAATACAGAAATGTACAACACGTCTGCTCAAAATTGCTAGCCTGTCTGGATGACAGAGCTGTTAAAAAATCTTTAAGAACATCCACTTTACATGCCAGAAGACTAATAGAAAAAGTCACATGGCTTTGTGATAGAGGTAAAAGATGTCCATAGTTATAAAAAGATTGTCTAATGTGTACAGGTGTATCCTCATCTTGATCTGCTTAAAAATTTGAAATTGCCATTGGAGTTTCAATTTAAAGTTTTTGATGTATTTTCTCTCTTGGGATGGATTATTTGAAGTTTGAACAAAGATATTATGGAACAAGATTAGTGGGAAAAAAACCAACAAACCAACAATCAAAAGCCTACCCCATATTTTTTTGAATGCTAAACCAACCAACCAAAATACAACATTCATTTTAAAAAGGAAAAAAATATTTTGAATTAGTAGTGTTATGAAGTTTTATCTGTCAAGAATATTGTTTTTGGATCAGAGACTCTGCCTTATTTTGAATTTGAAGGCATAGTGTTCAGGTTGTTTTAGTTAAATGGCAATAAAATCACATGCATGTGCTGAATCTGAACTGCTAAAGTGTTTTTTTTTTTCTGTGCTTTCTGTGTGTAATGAATATGCTCCTTAAACACTCCTGAGTCTCTTGTGCAGTTTCCAAACAACTCCCCAGAACTGCAGCTCCAGGGGAGATGTGATCCAAAGCACGTTCGCTGTTGTGTGGGGCTTTTTCCCTGCTGAAAACATCCGTTATTAGAGTGAAGGTGTCAAGATAATAAGGGCATTTTTTCATTGTTTAAATTTCAAAATGGCTGTGAGAAGGGGATAAAGCTGCTTAAAATCTGATGGGTTGAGTCTAGCAGTCTGGTGGGTACTGGGGAGATCTTGGGGAGCTGCTGCCTCCAGCTGCCTGACTCTTCTGCCCACAGGAGCAACAGCATCCAGCCCTCAACAGCAGCTTGTGCCTGGCAGTGCTGATACAAACTGAAGTTGAGGGTGGATTAAAAGGCTGAGCCAGACTCTAAATAGCAACAGCTGAGGAGACTTTCTCCTTTGCTGCCTCTGTTGTTGGGCTGGTTACATCCACCAGACATCTGGGGGAGGTAACCTCCTACACTGGCTGATCACAGATCTCCATGAGTCAAAACCTTTCGTCTCATCTCTTCCTTTGTTTATTCTCAATTTATCCTGTGCACTTCACAGCCTTTATTCCTGAGCCATGGCCTGCACTGCTCCCTGAGTCAGGAGAGTCAGTTTTTCCCCTTTTGCTCATCTAAAATGAAGAGAACAGCCATGGTCTGGGCAGTTGTTCATGTCACTGCCCCAGAGCAAGGAGCACAACTTGGAGCAGGGGTGTGGAAGTGTCTTTGGCCAGAAGACTTGTTTGTTCCATGAACAGTGGAACTAAGGAAGCCTGGCTTTCTGTAAAATGCCCCTTGTTCCTTCCATTTCCAGTGTCTCCACAGCATGCACTGCAGTCCTCCTATCTGGCCTTGGTTCTTCACTGCTCTGCCTTCAACTTGTAGTTGTGAAGCATTTAAAGCCAATACCTCTAAAAGAAGCTGTCCTGTCTGATGCAGATTGCTGCTTTGTTCCTCTCCTGGTGGTACAAGCAGTTATGCAGCACTGCAATGGAAATGTAAAAGTCTCCCCAGTCCACTTCACTTTGTGGCCACACAGATGCTTGTACTGGCTGGAGAGAGAAGGCAGGAAAGTGTAGCCAACAGCAATGACAGGATAGAATTACTTCTCTTTTGACAGCTTATGGCTACTTTATTAGAAAGTTACACCACTGGTATCACTGCATGTCCCTTACACCATTCCCTGGCAACTGCTCTGTTTGCTGCCTGTTAATGACTTGCTGGCTATTGTCAGTCTGAGCAGACAGGAGCAGAGAACTTCTTCCCTTCCCTCTTTGGGATATGTAAGGTCACCTGCCAGCAGTTTTTGCAGAGCTCAAAAGGGCTTGTGGACATCCATCCATAGTCTGCTCTGGCTGGATCTCAAACCCTCATTCTGCCAGGAACATGAAGTGATGGGGCTGATGCAGGAGGGCAGGGCATGAGGAAGAAGAAATTAAGTTCTCAAACTTTCTGGTGGAAATAGCAGCCAAGAGAAACTCTGATCTTGACATGAATATGGCAATTCAAGTGAGCAACAAAGCCAAAGTAGGCTGGTGTAACAGTAGGATGATGTTTTAAATGACAAGCTGATGTTTTTTTCACTGTACTAATGCAACAGTTTTACTAAAATTAAAACCCAGAACTTGTTTTTTTTAATTGCAATCTTAAAGACTTAGATTGCTGAAATTATATGATTTTAGACTTTAAATGTAGATATTGCTTGTACTTATACTATCACTTTTAAAAATCAGAGAGCCATCCTGCTTCTTCTAATGGACATCATCAGAGTCTAGAAGCTGGCACTTAATACAATTAAGACCCTAGAGTATGTATTTAATGACTTGCCTCATTTGAATAGTTGGATCTACTTATAAGAATTACCAATGTTTTTGTTCCAGATCACTCTGTTTCCCAACCAATTATGGTTCAGAGAAGACCTGGTCAGGGGTTTCATGTGAATAGTGAAGTCAACTCAGTGCTTTCACCACGGTCAGAGAGTGGAGGACTTGGAGTTAGCATGGTGGAGTATGTGTTGAGCTCATCTCCTGGAGATTCCTGCCTAAGGAAAGGAGGATTTGTAAGTGTGCCTGATTCTGACACTTGAGTTCCCATTATGTTATTTCCTTTATTTGCTGCTTGCTTTGTTTGTTTGTTAATCCATTCCTAAAGGCAGATGTTTCTTCTTTCTTTTATTTGCTCTTAGTTTAGCTCTCTAAAAATGGGTCAGCCTGCAGTTTAACCACTGTTCTTGACTTAGGGAATGCAGTGTGGGAGATGGTTGTAAAGGCTGCTGATATTCCCTGGTTCTTCAGCTAAGGACAACCAGCTGTAACACCCCATCCAAGCTTGTCTTTGGAAAAAAGTATGGAAATACACCTGAAGTTTTTGAATGAGTGTGTGGCTGCTTTCTTGCTGGCTAAGAACAAAAAGCTCCATGTAATGATGCTAGAAACATAACGTAGCTATAAAAACCACTCCAGCTGGGGAATGCTTTCAAGGGCATATCATTTCCTATGGAGAAATGGCATTAGTCACTGTGCTTGGTGGGGTGGAGTGGGAGCACAGTTGCTGCTGCCTCAAATCTGGAGACGTGGTGAGAGAGGCATAATCAAACCCCATCCCTGTAGCAGGGAAAAGGGGCTGCATCTGAGCTCCACCTCATCAGCTATGTGCTGGATCAGGAATTGTTGAAAAACATAAAAGCAGAGAGTAGGTTTGTTACTGTTAGGCTGCTGTGCTCATCTCTTCAGGGAGCTGATTTGAGGTTTCCTTCATCCATCCTCTTATTTTTGTCCCTCATTAGCAGGCACCTGATAACCTGTTGAACCCTGAGCCTGAGAGAGATGATTTTTGAGAAATGAACAGTCAGTGGAAGGACCCAATTTATTATCTGAATGAGGAGTTAGAGAGGTCTCTGATCTGCAGCATTGATAGTCAATATGCCAGTTCTGAAATGAAGGGTCTCACTGGTGAATAGCACATTGTGTGGGGGAGAATTTGGCTTCAAATTTGTATTTATAATTGGCATTTCCAAGTCTGCTCTTCAGTATTAAGGAAGCATAATTTAAGAAGTATCAGAAGATGATTGCTTTCAAAACATTTTTCTTCTCAATAAGGGGGGGGAAATCTCTCCCTCTCCAAGTAGGGAGAGTGGAACATCAATTCAGTTGATATGGTGTTCAAATGCCCTGTTTTGTACAGAGTACTTTTCCCTGAAATGAAGTGGCAGACAGGGTTTGAGTGTCTTTGTGACAGCACCAAAGCTGTCTCTGACAAATGTGTTTATATGCCCCTTGCTGTTTTTTTATCATAAATTAAGTTGTTTTTCCTCTCCCTTTCGTTGTTCAAAACTCTCCCCCTGGCATAATCACCCTTTATTCTTCTACCAAGTGAAATAAAATGAAGACATTAAGGTCAGGAATGCTGCAGATGTAATACCACTCATAAAATGCTTAACAGAACAGAAATCCTTTTTTATCTTTTTTTTTCTTTCTTTTGTCCCCCTAAAAATGTACTTTAGGATGATGTGAACCACTGATGGAGCTAGTGATTGACCTGAGTGCTCTGAAATGAGCCATGTTTTGGAATTCACTGTGCAAATCGCAGTAATGTCTCCCCAAAATGAGGTGACCCTTTTCTGCTCAAATACATGCACTTGCCCAATCAATTACTGCATCTTTGACACTGAGCCAGTGACATTCAGGGAGACCCTAACTCAGTTTATACCCTTCAATACATGCTGTTGTATTCAAAAATTTGTGAGTTAATTTTACAGTGCTGAAGTCCCACCTAGAAAGAGGATTTAGAGAAGTATTCTCTAAAATTATTTTGGGGTGGGACTTTTGGAGCCTGTAGAAGCAGACCCTGGATTGTTAAGTGGAAGAAAGTGTTGTCGATAGATAAAACCTTTCTTGAAGGAGTGAGAACTAATTCTCTTATTTCCTTGATTATGATGGATTATTTTGCCTTTTTAACATATTTATTCATAAGAACTAATGTTTGCAAATGACTTTTGGTGATGTGTATCTTTGATTTGTTACCATCTCGGAATAAAAGCAAAATGGAGCTGAAAACTAAGCTTATTAAAATAATGTCTCTCTTGCCTAGGGGCCAAGGGATGCAGAGAATGATGAGAATGACAAAGGGGACAAGAAAAATAAGGGCACATTTGATGGCGATAAATTAGGAGATCTGAAGGAGGAGGGGGATGTGATGGATAAAACAAATGGTTTGCCGGTGCAGAACGGAATCGACGCAGATGTCAAAGACTTCAGGTATGGGCAGTGTTAGTTAATAATTAATCAGTGTCACACTTAGCACAGAAAATCTTTGGAAAAAAAAATAGTTGTGGTGAGAAAGTCCTGGAGTCATTGAAGGCAGTGTCCTAAGGACGCTGTGACACTGTGCCCAGGAATACTGTGAAGGTGGAGGGTGACATGTGACGTCACAGGTCTCATCTGTGCAGACCTAGTTCTATATCATAGAATCATAGAATGTCTTGTGTTGGAAGGGACTTCTAAAGGTTCCCTAGTCCACCCCGCCTACAATAAGCTGGGACATCTCCAACTAGAAAAGATTGGTCTGAGCCTCATCAAGCCTGACCTTGAATGTCTCCAGGGGTGGTGCCTCCACCACCTCTCTAGGCAACCTGTTCCAGTGATCCACCACCTTCATATTATAGTACTCCTAATGTCCAACCTAAATCTACCTTTTTCCAGCTTAAAACCAATACCCCCTGTCCTATCATTACATTCCTGTGTGAACAGCTCTTCCCCAGCCTCCTTATAGGCCCCTTTCAGATACTGGAAGGTCTCTATGAGGTCCCCCCAGAGTCTCCTCCTCTTCAGGCTGAACAACCTGATCTGTTGGCCACATTTCTTTTGATGCAGCCCAGGATGTGCTTGGCCTTCTGGGCTGCAATTGCTCATTCGTGGCTCATCTCCTGGTTTTGATCCACTAGTACCCCCAGGTCTTTTCTCCTCCTCTTCAGGCTGAACAACCTGATCTGTTGGCCACATTTCTTTTGATGCAGCCCAGGATGTGCTTGGCCTTCTGGGCTGCAATTGCTCATTCGTGGCTCATCTCCTGGTTTTGATCCACTAGTACCCCCAGGTCTTTTTCCACAGGGCTGCTCTCTATCAGGTCTTTCGCAAGCCTGTATTGATGTCTCTGGTTTTCCAGGTGCAGGACAACAAAACTTCATGAGGTTTACCTGGGCCCATTTGTCCAGGTCCCTCTAGATTATATTGTAAATATAATTGTATTGTATTGTTTTGAACTTGTTTCTTGTAGCTCTCAAGAGATTAAAGCCTTCAGAAATTGTGGCTATTTGTGTCATCAATGCATTTGTATTTCTTGCTGTTTTACCTGCTCACCATGTCTCGTGTTGACACGTAGGGAAACTAGAAGCAAAATAAATTTGCTGTGAGGGCTGTCCTGCTGGCCCTTGCATTGAGATGAACCATGTCCCACTTGAGTCCAACACTTCTGTTAAGTAACCAGGAAGCCAGGGCACCTACTTTAGGAAGGTTTCAGGTGAGGTACCGTGCCAGAGTATTACCTGGTTAATGATTACCAGAAAGCTTTATGAAGAAATAATGTTAGCATTTCTGAAGTCCTGGCCTGTTATGGCTGACTCTCCTCAATTGAGAGAAAAAAAGAAGCTGAAATTTCTCCATATTTGTATTTTAACAATTCATTGAGGCAGGAGGGCTGGGGTTTTGTGAGAGGTTTTTTTTAATTTTTGTTTTAAATACATAAATTGTTTGGTAGAATTAATTTAAGGAGCTATTTCAGATCCTTCTTTTTTTCCCCCCTTTATCACACCATCTACAAGCACTTCTGGTGAGTGCTGGTGTCTGTTACTGTTAATCAGTGGTGTGACACTGTTCAGTGGACGTGCTTAGTGACAAGTATCTTTTCTTTCTGCCCAGCCGTACACCTGGGAACTGCCAGAACTCTGCTAGTGAAGTCGATCTCCTGGGTCCAAACCAGAATGGATCAGAGGGCTTAGCCCAACTGGCCAGTACTAATGGTGCCAAGCCAGTGGAGGACGAGAAATGGCATTAGTCACTGTGCTTGGTGGGGTGGAGTGGGAGCACAGTTGCTGCTGCCTCAAATCTGGAGACGTGGTGAGAGAGGCATAATCAAACCCCATCCCTGTAGCAGGGAAAAGGGGCTGCATCTGAGCTCCACCTCATCAGCTATGTGCTGGATCAGGAATTGTTGAAAAACATAAAAGCAGAGAGTAGGTTTGTTACTGTTAGGCTGCTGTGCTCATCTCTTCAGGGAGCTGATTTGAGGTTTCCTTCATCCATCCTCTTATTTTTGTCCCTCATTAGCAGGCACCTGATAACCTGTTGAACCCTGAGCCTGAGAGAGATGATTTTTGAGAAATGAACAGTCAGTGGAAGGACCCAATTTATTATCTGAATGAGGAGTTAGAGAGGTCTCTGATCTGCAGCATTGATAGTCAATATGCCAGTTCTGAAATGAAGGGTCTCACTGGTGAATAGCACATTGTGTGGGGGAGAATTTGGCTTCAAATTTGTATTTATAATTGGCATTTCCAAGTCTGCTCTTCAGTATTAAGGAAGCATAATTTAAGAAGTATCAGAAGATGATTGCTTTCAAAACATTTTTCTTCTCAATAAGGGGGGGGAAATCTCTCCCTCTCCAAGTAGGGAGAGTGGAACATCAATTCAGTTGATATGGTGTTCAAATGCCCTGTTTTGTACAGAGTACTTTTCCCTGAAATGAAGTGGCAGACAGGGTTTGAGTGTCTTTGTGACAGCACCAAAGCTGTCTCTGACAAATGTGTTTATATGCCCCTTGCTGTTTTTTTATCATAAATTAAGTTGTTTTTCCTCTCCCTTTCGTTGTTCAAAACTCTCCCCCTGGCATAATCACCCTTTATTCTTCTACCAAGTGAAATAAAATGAAGACATTAAGGTCAGGAATGCTGCAGATGTAATACCACTCATAAAATGCTTAACAGAACAGAAATCCTTTTTTATCTTTTTTTTTCTTTCTTTTGTCCCCCTAAAAATGTACTTTAGGATGATGTGAACCACTGATGGAGCTAGTGATTGACCTGAGTGCTCTGAAATGAGCCATGTTTTGGAATTCACTGTGCAAATCGCAGTAATGTCTCCCCAAAATGAGGTGACCCTTTTCTGCTCAAATACATGCACTTGCCCAATCAATTACTGCATCTTTGACACTGAGCCAGTGACATTCAGGGAGACCCTAACTCAGTTTATACCCTTCAATACATGCTGTTGTATTCAAAAATTTGTGAGTTAATTTTACAGTGCTGAAGTCCCACCTAGAAAGAGGATTTAGAGAAGTATTCTCTAAAATTATTTTGGGGTGGGACTTTTGGAGCCTGTAGAAGCAGACCCTGGATTGTTAAGTGGAAGAAAGTGTTGTCGATAGATAAAACCTTTCTTGAAGGAGTGAGAACTAATTCTCTTATTTCCTTGATTATGATGGATTATTTTGCCTTTTTTACATATTTATTCATAAGAACTAATGTTTGCAAATGACTTTTGGTGATGTGTATCTTTGATTTGTTACCATCTCGGAATAAAAGCAAAATGGAGCTGAAAACTAAGCTTATTAAAATAATGTCTCTCTTGCCTAGGGGCCAAGGGATGCAGAGAATGATGAGAATGACAAAGGGGACAAGAAAAATAAGGGCACATTTGATGGCGATAAATTAGGAGATCTGAAGGAGGAGGGGGATGTGATGGATAAAACAAATGGTTTGCCGGTGCAGAACGGAATCGACGCAGATGTCAAAGACTTCAGGTATGGGCAGTGTTAGTTAATAATTAATCAGTGTCACACTTAGCACAGAAAATCTTTGGAAAAAAAAAAAGTTGTAGTGAGAAAGTCCTGGAGTCATTGAAGGCAGTGTCCTAAGGACGCTGTGACACTGTGCCCAGGAATACTGTGAAGGTGGAGGGTGACATGTGACGTCACAGGTCTCATCTGTGCAGACCTAGTTCTATATCATAGAATCATAGAATGTCTTGTGTTGGAAGGGACTTCTAAAGGTTCCCTAGTCCACCCCGCCTACAATAAGCTGGGACATCTCCAACTAGAAAAGATTGGTCTGAGCCTCATCAAGCCTGACCTTGAATGTCTCCAGGGGTGGTGCCTCCACCACCTCTCTAGGCAACCTGTTCCAGTGATCCACCACCTTCATATTATAGTACTCCTAATGTCCAACCTAAATCTACCTTTTTCCAGCTTAAAACCAATACCCCCTGTCCTATCATTACATTCCTGTGTGAACAGCTCTTCCCCAGCCTCCTTATAGGCCCCTTTCAGATACTGGAAGGTCTCTATGAGGTCCCCCCAGAGTCTCCTCCTCTTCAGGCTGAACAACCTGATCTGTTGGCCACATTTCTTTTGATGCAGCCCAGGATGTGCTTGGCCTTCTGGGCTGCAATTGCTCATTCGTGGCTCATCTCCTGGTTTTGATCCACTAGTACCCCCAGGTCTTTTTCCACAGGGCTGCTCTCTATCAGGTCTTTCGCAAGCCTGTATTGATGTCTCTGGTTTTCCAGGTGCAGGACAACAAAACTTCATGAGGTTTACCTGGGCCCATTTGTCCAGGTCCCTCTAGATTATATTGTAAATATAATTGTATTGTATTGTTTTGAACTTGTTTCTTGTAGCTCTCAAGAGATTAAAGCCTTCAGAAATTGTGGCTATTTGTGTCATCAATGCATTTGTATTTCTTGCTGTTTTACCTGCTCACCATGTCTCGTGTTGACACGTAGGGAAACTAGAAGCAAAATAAATTTGCTGTGAGGGCTGTCCTGCTGGCCCTTGCATTGAGATGAACCATGTCCCACTTGAGTCCAACACTTCTGTTAAGTAACCAGGAAGCCAGGGCACCTACTTTAGGAAGGTTTCAGGTGAGGTACCGTGCCAGAGTATTACCTGGTTAATGATTACCAGAAAGCTTTATGAAGAAATAATGTTAGCATTTCTGAAGTCCTGGCCTGTTATGGCTGACTCTCCTCAATTGAGAGAAAAAAAGAAGCTGAAATTTCTCCATATTTGTATTTCAACAATTCATTGAGGCAGGAGGGCTGGGGTTTTGTGAGAGGTTTTTTTTAATTTTTGTTTTAAATACATAAATTGTTTGGTAGAATTAATTTAAGGAGCTATTTCAGATCCTTCTTTTTTTCCCCCCTTTATCACACCATCTACAAGCACTTCTGGTGAGTGCTGGTGTCTGTTACTGTTAATCAGTGGTGTGACACTGTTCAGTGGACGTGCTTAGTGACAAGTATCTTTTCTTTCTGCCCAGCCGTACACCTGGGAACTGCCAGAACTCTGCTAGTGAAGTCGATCTCCTGGGTCCAAACCAGAATGGATCAGAGGGCTTAGCCCAACTGGCCAGTACTAATGGTGCCAAGCCAGTGGAGGATTTCTCCAACATTGAGTCCCAGAGTGTCCCGCTGGATCCCATGGAGCACGTTGGCATGGAGCCTCTTCAGTTTGATTATTCTGGCACTCAAGTACCTGTGGACTCGGCCGCAGCCACCGTGGGGCTCTTCGATTACAATTCCCAACAGCAGGTAAAGTGTCAGCCAGTGGTCCTGCCTTCCTGCTCCAGTTCCTCCAGGAGAGTTGTCACAGGGTTAGCATGAGCTCAGGCTTTTTCTTGGTGAGAGGGATGAGCTTTTGGGATGGTTTCATCATCTCTGCTGTCTGCAAGGTGCTGCATGTGTCCTTGGGAGCTTGAGGCAGGAGTTCTACTTGACATGGCCACCTGAACAGCATAAAGGACCTGTAATAAACAGCACATTTCTGTGTATTAGTGATTTTTAGCTTGAGTGGGTTTGCATTGGAGAAGAGCTTTAAATTAGTAAAAACTGCTAAACAAAAAAGCCAAACAAAACCAATCCAACAAAAACCAAACCATCCTCAAGCCCTTAAAATGATATAAAGGTCAAATGACTGTCCAGCCTTGGTGTTGCAGCCCTGCTTTGGGGTCCCCGCACTACTGGACTGGAGCAGACTGAAGGAATGATGAGTTTAAACTCCCTTGCTTGCACTGGAGCGTGGTTTAAAACCCGAGGTCAGAGTCCAATGCTACCAAACTTTTACCTCAGCCCAGTGGGTTTGTTTGACCTTTTCTCCCACACAAGCAGCCCAAGCTTCTCATCCCAGACAAGTGAGGCAAGTCCTTGCTCTGCTGTTGACTCCTTGTGAATGCCAAGCCCAGATCCAACCAACAATAGCTTGTAATCCATTCTTGTTCCTGCTAGTTTGGGTAACAACTGTAAACTTTTATTACCTTTCTTTTGTAACTATGATATTCCTCAAAGAAGAAACAAATCCTTTGTTGTAGCTGATTACAAGAGCATGTAACTAGCCCTGGGTTTCCTGAAATGTCTGATCTTTTTCAGCAAAACAGCCTGTTGGCACTCTACTGAGGAATGGCTGTTGCCAAGTTTGTGCTCAAAGCCCACCTTGAGAGAGTTATCATAGTCTTTCAAGCAATGTAAATATCTATGTTATAGCTTCATCGGTTATTTTATGATATGTTTGGGAGGTTAATGATGGAAAAATTTTTAATGATTAAACTAAATAGCTGCTGTATAGTTTGAAAAGAAAAAAAAAGGCTAGTTTCAAGTGTTTGTTGCACTCTAGGGCCTTGAATGCAAGAATTACTTTCAAACATTAAAACCTGTATTAAAAAAAAAAGTGTGTTAGAGCTAAATAATTGAACTGCTTTTTAAGGAACCGTTAGATATGAGAAGATAATTGCAGGAGTGTGAAGCCTGTAATTTGCATTTTGCTGGTGTTTTCAGTTTACATTAGGCTCATTTATAGGTTCAAGTAGTTTTTATTTGTTTCATCTAGCCTTTAAAAATTAGGATTTAAAATGGCACATAGTTTATGCCTGGCTAGTGGGACTAAGAACTCCTGGAGTGAGGCTGAGCTGGGAAGCCTGCTGGTTTCAGGGGTAATGGCAGCACAGGCTCTGGCTGACCCTGTAGACAGGTCTGCTTTATTTTTCTTTCCTTTATATGAAGTGGATGGGTAATACCATGTAGAGCTGATGTCTCTCCCATGTCATCATGCTTACAGCTTTCTGCGGGTTTGCTGGGGGAGCTGCAGTTCTGTCTTGTCTCTTAAAAGGGTGGATGTTGGAGGGGCAAGGGTGGGCTGGGGGCTGTGAGCCCCCCTCTCCCTCTATGGTGCTCAGCTCCTGGTCGTGCTGACAATAAGCAGGCTGGGCTGGTCAATAAGGTCTGTTACTCTAAAGATTCAGCCTTGTTGGAATAGCTGCTGACACCTCCAATAAATGCAAATGACAGGCTTGTGTAAGGGCTGTAGTAAAGATAAGGATTCACTCTCCTGCCAAACGTGACCTCTCTGTGCACGTGTGTTACTGCAGCAGGGCCTTGCTCAGCCTTCTGTCTGGTTGCTTAGAATCATAAAATCAGAGAATTATTAAAGTTGAAAGGGACCTTAAAGATCCTCAGCTTTCAACCTCCCTGCAGGGCCACCTCACACTAGGCCAGGGTTTTTTTTTTTACCTGTCCCTCTAAAGTAAAGTGTCTGTTTAGAATTATATCTGTTAGACTTAAATATTTACACTTTTTTTTTTTGATTGAGATGTAGAAGAGTTATTTTTGTACTTATATATATATCATTTTTTTCAGTTATAAAATTATTTTTCAAATATAAAAGATGGACGTTTTAACTTTTAAATCCCTTTGTCTCTAAATTAGTATTATTTTTCAAGACATACAAATAAGAGATTTTCCCTGTTTTAGCACCTCATGCCCATATTCACAGGTTTTAAAAGTTTTAGTTTTTTTAAACATATTTTTTTTCATCTCCCCCCTGCAAACTTTCAGGCGTTTTTGGGGTGCTCTTGGAAGCTAACTCAGAAATTCACTTCTTAATAGATGATACCCAGCAGCCAGCATGTTGTGGTGTTTGCTGCTTGCCAGTTATAGCTTGTGTGAAAGGAATCTGTTTTGTTGGCAGTTTAGTCTTCTCCATTCAGTTGTCAGAAGGAAAAATGTCCTGAACAAAAGGATCTCATCTGTTAAAGTGTCTTTCTCAGTCCGTTGGGAAGTGACATCTACTTTGAAGGGATTACAAACGAGTGCAGCTAAAAGCAATATTAAGAAGGGAAGGTCTTAACCACGTGTAATCTGATTAGAGATGTCAGATGTTTATATTGCAGCAGAAACTGGCTTATGGAAATGTAATCTTACGTTGGTCCCATAACTGCATAATGCAGATATGATGTTCTGGTTTCTTGTCATTCCCTGGATGAACCTGCATGTTGCAAATGGTGCCTCATCTGTGTACACGTGGGAGACAGGAAAATAGTCTTGTTTTCTGAAGTGTCAGGTGATCCCACTGAGCTCCTCTGAAACTGTGTCAATTGTAGGTTTTCATTCTAGATGTAATTCCTAATAGGCGAAAATGCTCCATGTGTGCATTTTTAAAACTTCAGCCTCTCTTAGTAAATTCCAGTTAATACTCCTGTTAAAGAAGGTTCTTTTCCATTTTACCACCTACTGGAGATCACAATTTAGTACTGATAAAAAGCTAATTCTTATTTGCATATGTAGTAATGTCCCAAATAAGATGACAGGAAAGCTATTATTGGAGTTTTTCTTTTTTGCTCTTTTGTTTTCTGGAACACAGGTCTTTGCTGTCAGCAGATGGAAGCAGTGCATTGAGGCTTTAATAAGGCAGAGTTATTAAATACGTAGAGATGATGATTCCCAGAGCTCCTGTGGTGTAGGGGCTTATCTAGCTAAGTACAGCCTGAAATTGTAATCGTTTTTGTTGGCTCTGCTTCCATGTGTGCTACAGGCAGTAGGAAATCTGCAGCTGCAGAAGGTTTGAGCTGTTTGCAGTTCCTGCAGGCTTGCAGCAATGGCAATTGAAAGCAGGTAGAGGGAGAGGTCACCGATTTGAGTGACTGCCTGAGTCCTTGGCTTAGATACCAGCCTTTATCTGACCTTTCTTTGGAAGGGAAGCTTCATAAAGGTTTGAGAGGAGGTCTGCAGGCAGGAAGAACCCAGCCCTTCCTCATGCTTGCAGCACAGCGTGAGTGCAGAATGTTTGCGTGTGGCTTTAAAGGAGCTCAGGAACATGGACTGAGGAAGTAAGCTGGAGCTAAGTCCTTAGGTTACCTTGGCTTGAGGATGCAGACATACTCTTGGTGGTTTTTCTAGAGCAGATGTAAGGACTCTTCCCAGCCTGTTCTTTACTCCTCCCTTCTGGAATACCAGGAATTTTAGGTGAAAGAGTATCTTTTCAGTCTCCCTCCTTGAACCTTCAGTAAACTTGGCAGCTGCTGACAGCAGAACGATTTGGATACTGTGGCTTGATTGCAGCAGAAGGAAAATGCACAAAGCTAGTGTGGGTGCTTCTATGTCTGAAAGGTAAATTTAGCAGTCATCAGCTGTGCTCACAAGGGAGGGAGAGGGCGAGCAGACAACAAAAAATACAGCAGCAGCAAGTGAAATATTCATGCTTTCAGTAGCTGTGTATTTTTTTGCTAGTACTTCTAATTTAAAAATGGATCATTGAGATGCATTCAGGAGGTGTGGAAGTCATCACACATATGAACTGAGCACAAGAAAAAGTATTTTCAGGGGAGATAAGTGCTTTTTTGCCCTCAAGACAGGCAGCTAATCCAGCCTTTTCTTCTACTGTTCACCTTGTCAGAATACACATTAATAGACTGGAAAAACAGATCCCAGGGATGCAAAACAATATGAAAAGTAAAGATTTTGGTGAAGAATTTGCAGCTGAAGGGCTCAATACAAAAGTAGACCACAAAAACAAGGACAGCTGTTCTAGATGTATTCCTATTAGCAGTTATGGAGATATGTAGTTTGGTTTTTTCCATATCTTCTGATGCTGATCAGTGAGTAAGATGCTGCTGGAGAGTCCTACAGAGCCAGAATTCCTCATTCCATTTTCTGTAGGTCACCTTGTCCATGATGTCCTTTTTTTAAACTAAAAGATGTCAGTAGAGCATTTGATCCAGCTACTTATGACAGATGGTGTATTAACAAAGATTACACGCACTCAGCTGGGTGTAAGCATGAAGTGTTGTTGAGTGATGTGTTTAAAAAAATAAAACAGAGGTGTGTTCTGCATGAAGACTTCTAGGAATGCTTTACAGCCCTCCTGATCTTAGGCCTGGGGAGGTGATAACATAACTATGGATTTGACATGCTGCTCCATAAGTAGCTCCATAAAAGCCCCAACATCTTCAGGGGTGAACACAGTTGTGACCAGGTTGTTGTCAGATCAGTTCTGGATCTCCTGAGTTCCACATCTTTAATCTGATCCTGAGCCCTTACATGTTATTTTTCCTCCTTTTGAACTTGTAACAAAAGAAGAAAATAGAGGTAGTGTATCACCTACCTTTTTCGTATTTTCTGCCTAAACAGTGTTGTTGCTCATCCTGCTCTCAGGAGAACTGACTCCAATTTTAACCTATAAAAATCACCCCTAATTTTCTAAAAAAATTCCCTGCTTCTTGTTGCTTGTGAGTTTCTGCCAAAAATTTGGGTGGGATTATTATTGCTGCTTCTGACAGCTGAAGTAGCTCACTTGTCTTGTCTGAAAGGAGGGCAGAGATAATAGGTGTGAAAATTGTATAGCATTTAGACCAATTTTTTCCAAGTGAGTGGAGAGAGAAAACATTTCTCACAGCAGTTTGTGGTGTAGCTCACACCTCAGAAATGATCACTTTGGGAAGTAAGTGGGGATGAACATTGCTCCTGGATCGTTTCAGAGTGGCTGTTCAGTTTGTATACCCTTAAATGTTTTAATTAGAGCTGAGAGTTGGTCTGCTAATGATTGATTCAGGGAGTCTTTCACTTAGGTAGAGGCATGTGCTCTGACATAGGAAGCTGGGGAAGTAAGCTTAGGAAGGACCTGGGGTGAATGTAGAAACAAAACCCAAAGCAAAAATACTTTTTCTTCAAAAATTAATGTAATCCTATATTACTTATTTTCCTTCTTACTGAGAATGACTGTTCTCAGAATATTGCCCGTTGCTCCCTAAAATTGTAGTGAGCTGCTTAACTTGTATATGCTTTGGATGACTTAACCAAAAAGTCCCCAGGTCTGATTTCTGTCTGTGGTCAAAGAAGAATTCACATTCCTTGCCTGGTCTCACATGGGAGATGCTGGAGGTGGAAGGTTGGCAGGTAAAGGAAGGATTTTGTCCAGGGGTTTGTGAGCTCCTGAGGCTGGCATCTCAGCAAATGGCTCTTGGGATGGCTCTGTGGCCATCTCAGTGGTATCATCTCCCTTATGAGATGCAGGCTCTACAGCCTGCCTGCCTGGCCCCTGCAGATAGGGACATGGGTTGTCCAGTGGTGTAACTGGGATTTCACTGGTGGTTAGATTTACAAGTGCTCATGGCAGCTACTGACCATCCACAGGCTGCAGTTTGGGGCTATTTGAGGAAGAGCTGGGTAAAAAATGGCTTTCAGGCATTGTACAGAGAAAACCCTGGCTGTGGTTTAGCTGCACTTCAGAAAGACATTTTTTCTTTTGTCTTTTTTTTTTTTTAATAGGTGAATTATCATGGGCAATTGATTTCAAAGAGTTTTAGGGTTTTTTCAATTCCCTTTGAAATGCTTCCCTTGAAAGAGGAGTGTCTGTCATAGAAATCTAGTGGCTGAAAATAAATCTAGTGTAAGGAACTGCTTGAAAAGGAAGGATGAGGTTGCTTTTTGTGCATGAGTAAAGGACCATCTTTGTGCTTTTGTCCCTCCAGTTGTTCCAAAGACCCAATGCACTTGCTGTTCAGCAGCTCACAGCAGCACAGCAGCAGCAGTACGCCTTGGCAGCTGCCCACCAGCCTCACATAGGTAAGTCTTGCATTGAATACCTTCTATTTGATTAGACTTCTGTTTGTCCTCAGTATACATTGGGAAAATGGGAGGGGGGAAAAAAGATCAGTAAGTTTTAGAGAATCTTAAATGTGTTTTTTGCAGCTGGTCATCAACACACAGGCAGAAGTATCTTGTTGGAAGATCTGCTTGAAATATTCTGGGGGGTATCTCTTGTACACTTGAAAAGCTCTAGAGCATTCCTGTCTGGCAGGAATGACACTCTTCCCCTTGTCAAGAGTGCTGCTCAGTAATGAGAGTGTTTTGAAGTACTTGCTCTGAGTGAGGCATGAATTAAGGTGAGAGAAGTGAGGGGAAAATGCACAATTCAATGTACACCTGAAAGTGTGTCCTGTGGTTTAGCTGCATGGGGTCTGACTTTAATTTAAAGAAGGAATTTATGCAAACACAATCCATATTATTAAAAGAGCGTAGATTAACTTGGAAGGAAGCACTTAATCCTGTGCATATTAAAACAGGAGGCCTGTAGAAGGGCTGCTTGTGGATGATTTGACTTAAACTATCTTAAACATTTTTATCACGATAAACAATTTAAGTGGTAGTTCTTCCTACCAAAAGTCCAATACAAATGTTTTGGGACTCTCCCAGCTCTGTGCAGTGCACTTGTGTGCTTCTTGGAGTACAGTGATAGACCTGAATTTAAATTATTTAGCTTTTTAACTTACTCCCTTTCACCTTCCCTCTGTGCCCCCTCCCACCCAGAGTAATTTCTCTAATGATTAAACTGTTTCCTTGCAAAGGAAGGTGGTGCCTGCATGGCAGTGACAGTGCCCTGTGGTGGTGCCTGTACACTCCTGAGCTCCTTCCAAACTAATTAATTGTGTAGATGGCATGAAGTCAGGAAGTAGTGTAAATTGGTTCCTGGTTAGTGTGCTATAGGAAGTACAGAATAGTAGCAAGCAATTAAATCATGTTATATATAACTGGTGTTAATAGTCACCTAAACAGTAAGGGTGTGTCTGCAGTGCAGAGATGCCTGAGCCAGCCTGGGTATTGTGTATAGACTATGTTACCACTTCAGCTTTCCTTGTGGGGCATTGCATCCATGGAATGGGTTTCTTCTCTGTAAATTATAGCCTCTGTGGCTTGTTCTGGTAAGAGTCTGGGAAGCACAGGAGTTGCTCACTGCCTGGAGGAAGCTCCCTGTGAAAAGCTTGAAAATACTAAAGCAACCTGAGCTTTCGTGTTCACCAGCCAGCTAGCCAGAGGTATTTTGGTTAGGGCTTCAGTTCCAGTTAAGTTTGTTTTTACTGACAGGTATGTTTTCAGCAGGTTTAGCTCCTGCTGCCTTTGTCCCCAACCCGTACATCATCAGTGCCGCTCCGCCGGGAACAGACCCGTACGCAGCCGGACTGGCGGCAGCTGCGACGTTAGGTGAGATGCTTCCAGTTGTCTGTGCATTTGTCACTGTTTCCTGTCCCAAAACTGCTCTTCAACCTGTGATTGTGGAAATTAAATATAAGTACGTTGTCGTTTCTGTGGAGTTGAAACAGGATTTGTCTTGGAAACCCTATTTTCTCTAGATTAAATGTGTTAATTCTTGTATAACACTTGGTAGGGGCACCCTGTCTGTTGAGGATAAACAAATGGAGCACATCTGAAACACTTGCAGACATAACTGTTTGGAGTTTTGATGCCCTTAAAAATAAAGTTCTTAATGGGTAGAAGGATGGAGGATGTGTTTCCCTGCCAGGAACATTATCTCATTGCTGCTTAGCTTGATTTATTACAGTGCACCTGGCAAATGAGATCTTTTCCCTTTTGCTAGGGTCTGTTAAGAATTTCTGCTTTGTTAGTTTCTTTAGGTAAAAACACCCCCTCTCTGCTGTGAAGCTTATCTTATGAATGTGCATTTTTCCAGATGACAAGCAGAGATGGTGGCTCTTGTCTTCATGTAGGATTTTTCTCCAAACATTCATGTGTTGGTTTCCAAATTCTTGCCAACTGTCCTCACCCAAAAATGTTGTATCTTAAGTTGACAGCTTATCAGGCAGCATAAAGAGCATGTTGTACATTGAACTTTTGCTGCATATGCCATAAAGTTCTTGCCTAAGCATTGAGGACAAAGGAAAAATGTACTTTCAGAAAAACACTCCTATACCCATACTTATCTCTCCATGAGCCACTGGGAGAGGAAAAACTACTCAGTTCAGAATAATGGTGATTTTTAGTGGAGCCTGCATTCTGTCGCCATGCTCCGCTTCCAGCTGGTATGGTCACTGCAAATCTCTTCTACTGTGGGACTGGTTGTCCCAAATCAAAACCATAAGAAGATGGTTGTACATGAAGGCAGAGCTCTGCCAAACAGCTCTGTGGTTTGGTACGTGACTTTTTGGTGTGTTGAACAGCTCTTGCATAACCCCTGCTTAGCTTTTAAGCTTTAAGGCCAGTATCAGGTCAAGCTCTGAAATGAGATTTCAGCAACTGTTACCCAGTTGGATGGTGTTTCTAGTGGATCATATGGAAGTATGTGAAGAATCAAGATTAAATGGGCTTTAGTCTTACTGCCTTTTGTGAGTTTTGTATGCTGATTGCATAGTAACAATGCAGGATGGAGTTTAGGTAGCAGCATGTTGTTGGCAAACAAGGGATGTTGTGATTAAATGGGAGAAAGCCAAGAGCTAGAGTACAAGGATATTCTAATAGCCCAGAAGTTGATAAACTATCATGTGATGATGAATGTGTGGCAGTGAATGAATGGCCTGAACTCTTGATGGCAGATATAAGTAGGAGGCTTCAGTCAGGACTTAGTGGGGAAGATTAGCAATTCCAGTTAGAGTCAGAAGTGCTGTTTTGTAAACTAATAGCACAAAAAGAGGATTCTGGTTGGCCTTTTTGCATTAACTCGCTGCTTCTACAGCTAGTTCTTATTCTTCAGTAACACTGAAGTTCAGTGGAGCAGGAGGTCAGGGGCTTGATTTCATAGGAAGATGGGCCTGCTGTCAGGTTTTCGGGAAGCAGCAAACATGTTTGCAACAACTTTTTTCTTTTTCCTTTTTCTCAGCAGTATTGAAGCTGCAGCTGCCAGAATATCTGATTGGAACCTTATAAATTTGAACTAGGAAATAACATACCCCAGGATACCTAAAGCATCTGGAACTTGGCATCAGGATCTCTGCTTTAAAAGTCTTTGAGTCTTGAAAGCAAAACAAAAGCATGTATAATGTGCTGCAATGTACTTAGTGTTACACCACTGAGAAATACCAGTTACTTCATCTGTCTCACTGGGCTTTGGACACTAACAGTTAGAAATGGCAAAATTACAAACTTCACTCCTTGTTGATGTTTGTTTTAGGAAAAGCACCTTTTCTGTCTAGAGTTGAGTAGTTTTGAAAGCTTTGTCTCTGTAGTGACTACAGCACTGAAGGGACATGGGGCAATTAAGATGTTTAGAGTACTGTATAAAGTCAGAAGACCTCCCTGATGTGTAGGGGAATATTAGATTGGGAGGATATGCAGATATGCAGAAGTTTGAGATGGAAGAAATGAGTTTAGAGCTGTTGGTAGTTTGTTGTTCAGTTACTGTTAAGGAGGAGGGGAAAGTTGTGTGTGTTTTATGACAGAGATAATTCTGTCAGTTAGTATTCTGCCATTGCAGCAGTATTTTCATGAGTGTAAGACTGCCAGCCCTGTGATAGTACTCTTTTCTACCCAGCGATAGTAGCATTTTACAGAACAAATTTGAATGCAGAGGGAAGGGCTTCCTACAAAAAACATGCGAGTTTAAGCAATGAGGAAGAATCTGCTGTCTTTAAAAAGTGTTGTGGAATTGCCTTCTCTGATTTGAGAAAGATGTTACTCAAAAGAAAGAAATCTTGCCTTTTGTAGGACAAGTTGGGAAGTGTTGGTGCCCTCTGAGGTGGTGGTTTACAGGTAGAAAAGTGTTTCTATTCTTTGTAGAGAAGTGAACGCTGGAACAGTCGGCATAGAGGAAAAGCACAGTGCTCCTAGACTGAAGGTAGAGTGGGCTTGGATGTGTCTGCATGGTGCTTCTCAGGCTTGGGTTTCTTAGAAGCCTCTTTCACTTGGTGATGCCCTGTGTCCTGTGCAAAGCTGGCTCAGAGCTGGCAGTAGGTATGGGTACCTGCCCACATCACCCATTACTGGGCTTTGGGAGCACGTGCAGGGCTCTGCCCCTGCTGCTGGGGCAGGGGGCTCCTCTCGGCAGGGTTGGCACGGGGCTGCACTGGAGCCGTTGGTTCAGCTCTTTCTCACCCCCATCCCTAACACAACAGCACTCCATGGGTGTCTGCGGGTGCTGCACTGGGGGGTGTGATCACCTCCCGTGTCCCAAGCAATTGATGAAGTTGCTGTTTGCAGCCTTGTGTTTTCAGCCATGAGGTTTGAGGCAGGTTAACCTGGTGGTCACAGAATCACAGAATTCCCTTGGTTGTAAAAGACCTTCATCAAGTCCAACTGTCAACCTAACACTGACAAGTCCTTAACTAAACCACATCCCTTAGTACCATGTCTGTACAACTCTTAAATACCTCCACAGGGGTGGTGACTCCACCACTGCCCTGGGCAGCCTGTTCCAGTGCCTGATAACCCTTTCAGTGAAGAAATCCTTCCTAACATCCAATCTAACCCCCCTTGGCAAGGGAGGGTGACTGTCCCTACTGAGATCAGGTATGGCTGCTCTTTACAGAGATTGAGTGTGGAGGCAAAACTTACGAACACACTTGCACATCTTGCTCATGTGTCTTGAAAAGAATATTTGTGGGTGTCTGTGGCCAATGTGTGAGACATAATAGTGGGAATATTTGATTTCAAGGACACTGGGATGGCATTTATTTTCTTGTGTGTGTATGTTTAATAAGTGTAAAAGCAGGTGCAGTATCTCCTGAAGAAACACTCACCATGTCTTTGTAAGTCTGGCAGTGATGACACACTTGCCCTCACTGAGAACACTGTTCAATAATGAGCCTCACCATGTGCTCAAGTGAGCTGAGCCAGACTTGCACCTCTTTTAAGCCCAGCTGTCTGCAAACTTCAAAGACTTTGTCTCTCTTCTTCTTTTAAGCACTTTAGGCTTTGCAGATCTGATGAGCAACCTCTAACTAGGAAAAAAACCCCTCATCTAGACTATGCTTGTTTGATCATTAGAACTGAGATTAAAATAAAGCAGAGAGATGCCTGCATTTTGCCCAGATAAAGGGTATTGCAGCAACTTCCCAGGAGCCTGAAGGCAAACAGACTAATTACTTGCATAAAATGGAGCAGTTGCAGCTATTTTCCTGTTGTGCAGCAGCACCCTCGCTGTTGGGCATCTGGGCTGCATTGGCTACATATAAAGAGTTATAATGCACCAATTAGTGATGTGTTTAGTAACTTCTTAGGTCAGGACAGGCAGTACCATTGTGGCCCTGATTAATTTTCTGCAGGTTTTTTAATTTTAGCTATGACTGCACATGAGTTTCCAGGTTGGAAGGTAAGAAACAAGCGGTTGATGCTCTTAAGAGAAATTCCAGTTCTGGAGCCTCCAACACAAGAAGGACTTGGAGCTCCTGGAGAGAGTCCAGGGAGGCCATGACAATGAACCAAGAGCTGGAACAGCTCTACTCTGGAGACAGGCTGAGAGATTTGGGGGGGTTCAGCCTGGAGAAGAGAAGGCTCCAGGGAGACCTTAGAGGTCCTTCCAGTGCCTGAAGGGGCTCCAGAAAAGCTGGGGAGGGACTTGGGACCAGGGCAGGGAGGGAGCGGACAAGGGGGGATGGATTAAAACTGGCAGAGGGAGATGGGGGTTGGACATGAGAAGGAAATTGTTGGGTGTGAGGGTGGTGAGAGCCTGGCCCAGGTTGCCCAGGGAAGCTGTGGCTGCCCCATCCCTGGCAGTGTTGAAGGGCAGGTTGGATGGGGCTTGGAGCAACCTGGTCTTGTGGGAGGTGTCCCTGCTCATGGCAGAGGGTTGGATCTAGATGATCTTTAAGGTCCCTTCCAACCCAAACCAGTCTGGGTTTCTGTGAAATCAGAGTCAGACCAGTCACCTTCTCTGCCTCATGAGACACAGTGAATCCCGCTAGGGCTGGATTTCCTGGCAGAGCTTTGCTGTGAGGTACAAATCCAACTGTTGAACGTGGATTGCTGGAGAGCCTGGCATTGGACAGCAGACTGCTTGGAACATCTCCCTGCTGTACACAGAGCTGGGCAGGTGTGTTAATAACACAACAAAATCCTATATTTGGGGAAAATACAGTGGTTAAACAAAATAATAAAGGAGAGTAACTGTTACATCTCAGGAATATGAATTTATTCTTTGACATTAAATATGTAATTAATATCTTGAAGTGTTGCTGAATCTCAGAGTCTACTGCATGGGTTGGTGGAGCAGTAGGTCATCCAGGCTCAGATCCAGCCTGTTGCACAGGGAATTGCTTTTGAATTCATTTGAAACAAACACATGTTACTATATAACAAACAAAACCAAACGAAACAAGTCCTTGCTGGTTTGTACCCCTTTGTCATACCCAAGCTTACATTCATTTTGCAGCTCCCTTTTTCCTGTCATCCCTCATTTTCGGGGGAATAATTTTTAAGTCTCTTGGGGACTAATAGTCTTTATCTGCATTACACTTGCTCTCCCTGCAGTGCCTTAATACAAGACATATCTAACAGCAATGCTGAAATGACTGTTAGAAATTAAATGCTAATTATCTCTCTTAAGGTAGAAGTTATTTTTAGTCCAAATAAGAACAAGTGTGTGGTTCAAATTCACTATAGACAAGTTTATTCTGCAGTGTCAAACAGGACTGTGGCAATCTGTCTTCAAAAGGCCATGAGTTGCTCCTCCTGTAGGGAGGAGCCTGTGGGATAGGTGATGAATTTGAAAAGCAATTACTTTTCTGCTGACCTTTCCAAAAGATGTAGGACAGGCATATTAAAAAAATATTGTTGAATTCACATACCTGTGATTTGGTGGTGGGGACTCCATTGTTCAGAGCCCTCACTGCTTCCTCAGCATTAAGCACACTAGAATTATTTCAGGATATATCACTGGATTAAGTGTGTGGTGTCCTGAGACGTGATAAAACACAATGAATCCTGAAAAGTTAGGCTTTTTCTGGTGCTCTCCAAGATTATTTATTTTTAAAGCCTCTTAAGTTGGAGGAGGAGTGAATGTGAAAAGATGCAGGATCATACAGCTGCTTTTATGGTGGTTTGTAAGTGCAAATTAAGACTGAGTGGCTAGAAAAATAACATTTTAAACACTTGAGAATTGATGCTATCCAGATGCAAAGAGGTTTTTTAATTTATTAGGGAGCTAAATGATAGATGTTTTTGAGTTGTGAATGTCAGCTGAGATTAGAAGAGATTTGTATATCTCTGCTTAAACATGTTTTCTCGGTTTTTTTGGTCAGAGGCACAAGTTTTGGTCCTTCACTATAAAATTAGGGCACAACAAGAAAAATGTGGCATTTCAATAGGAACACTGGTAGCAGAATTTCACCTCCTCCAATAGGGTAAAAGCAAGTAAAGCTGAAATTTCAGGTCTGACTTCTAAGCTTTAAAAAAATGAGTAGTACAAATGCCAGAATCCCTCCATATTTGCAAAAGTTTTAAAGCAGATCACCTGGAAATAGGACTTGGTAAACCAAATGTGATGAGCACTTGTTTCTGGTGACTGTTTGCTGTGGATTGCTTGTTCCACTGCAGAAGCTGACTTGATTCCCTTTGCATTCCAGGCCCAGCAGTGGTTCCTCACCAGTACTATGGAGTTACACCCTGGGGAGTTTACCCTGCCAGTCTCTTCCAGCAGCAAGCTGCCGCGGCCGCCGCCGCCACCAACTCAGCAAATCAGCAAACCACGCAGCAAACCCAGCAGGGCCAGCAGCAGGTAAGGGGGATCCTTTGCACATCACCTTGCTTACAGGGAACTCAGCAGCTTTGGAGAAACCTGATTATTTTTCAGTGATCACTCCCAAGTTGACAGTGAGAAGAGCCTTTGTTCCCTCTTAAAAAGACAATGGTAGATTCCTAGAATCATAGGGGTTGGAAGGGACCTCTGAAGATCATTAAGTCTAACTCCCCTGCTGCAGCAGGAGCACCCAGGGTAGATCACAGAGGAATGTGTCCAGATGTGTCTTGAATGCCTCCAGAGAAGGAGACTCCACAACCTCTCTGGGCAGCCTGTCCAAGGGCTCTGTCACCCTCACAGTGAAGAAATTTCTCTTCATGTTGAGGTGGAACTTCCTGTGTTGTCACTTGGTGCTGTTTCCCCTCGTCCTATCACAGGCACCACTGAAAAGAGATTGGCCCCTTCTTGACCCCCACCCTTCAGATATTTGTAGACTGAATTAAGGTCCCCTCTTAGTCTTCTCAAGACTAAACCACCCCAGGCCTCTCAGCCTTTCCTCATGTGATAGATGTTCCAGTCCCTTAATCATCCTCGTAGCCTTCATTGGATGCTTGCCAGCGTATCGCATCCCTATGTTTTGTGATGTCTTTTCTGCATCATACACATGGAGGATGATACAAGTACATTTGTGGTGGTCAATTATTGTGTGGTAATGGTTTGGAAAACAATCTAACCAACTGGTGAACACCAGTAGCAAACACATATTGGCATGTGAGTGGAAATCATCATCTTGCAACCTCTTTTCATGCCCATCACTGTAACTTGAAGGCCATGGAGACAGTGAAGATGTGTGTCCAATATTGATTGTCAATACATGTGTTCTGGTTCTCATTCCCCTTGGACACATGGTGGGATATGCTCCACCTTCCACCTCTCAGACCCCAGCAGGGCCTGTAGGATGGGTGGCAGGAACCAGGCTGGGGGTCTGGCAGGCTCAGCACAACCCCAGTCAGTTTGCTGTTTGGTCAAGCACTGGTCCTCACCTGATAATTGGCTTTCTACAGTTTCATCTGCCTCTTTCCCACGGTACTTCCTGCTTGGAAACAAAATGGGTCCATTATCCTTCTGAACAGGGAGGCAGCTCCTTCTCATGGTAACACGAAGCCATCCTGGTCCTCATGTGTTAGTGAGAGCAGTTATCAAGGAGAGCAGTTGGCAGCTGAATTTACTTCTGCTTTGAAAACTGAAGCAAAATCCCAAGTTTGGTAGTATTATAAAGCCTTTTCAGATAATAAAAGCAGTGATTTTTTTTCATGCCAATGATTCTGGACCAGCAATCAGGAGGAGAATACTTTGCTCCTGAGAAAGTTAATGATCCAGCCTCCCCATGTGGCAGGTCTCACAGGAGCATGTTGAGCAGACTTGCTTGTACCCCTGCACACAGGTAAATGGCATCAAGAGTGTGCTAAAGGTATCTCTGCCTTGGCATTCCAACTGGGAGCCTTTTCCTGTAAGGAAGGTGTGTGCTAAGAGAGCTTTTGCAAAGGCCTAAGCTGTGAAAATAAAAAAAATAGCATTCATCAGTAGGCTTTTATAATGTTTTTCATTACTTTTATAGCTTTGAAGCAGGCAGGAGTGGGGATGGTGGAGTGTTGTTTTCAGTGCAAGCCCTCCATCTGTGAGAGGATAGTGTGTATTTTTTGGATGAAATTTTTCCAAGTGCTGAGGCAAATGTTTTGGAAACCTAGGGCTGTGATTATGGAGTTGATTTGTGATGCTTACAACCTCTTAATAGCATATTTATAAAACCCACCAGCGCTTCCCTCCCTGCAGCCTGCCATCCATCCCATATGCCCTGCAGAGTCCCTCACACAGTGTGTGCTGCTCAAGCAGCTGCTGCTTCTGAGCCTCCCTAGGCTGAAAAGTTCAGGCTCTGGCAGTGACAGCAAAGTCTGGGATGCACATCTAAATCGGTTAAATTCAGGATCCTCGCGCAGTCTCTCAGTGCACCAAATCATTATTTCCTTTTGATAACTTTATGAGGTGACACAAACATGACTTTTTTTGCAGCAAGGTGTGCTGAGTACCAAAGGATGGCTTTTTTAATAAGCTGACCTCTCTGGTGGGTGCAGACTCTTGCATCACCACTTTTGCAAACAGAGCCTGTCACAGGTAATTACAGGAAAGGTCAGTTTGCTCTTCCCTTTGGAGAGCAACGTGTGCTTAAACCACAAGAACTACATGTAAGACAGTGTGTGATCTTTGGTCATTATTTCCAGTGAGTAAGTGCCATGTCACTGGGTTGCTGTTCTCTATGGGGGCTGGCTTAGAAAAACTCATGTCAACCTGTGTCATCAGCCCCCAGCTCCTAAGTCAGGCTTTTTAAGGTTTAAGCTCAAGTGGGCTTTTAGCAAGTTGTCACCTGAGATGGAGCAGATGGCTTGCAGACACTTCTAATGAAGGCTGAGTATTGAAGCTGTATCAAGAAATGAGAGTTCAGATGATGAAGCATTTAAAGATTGTACTCAGTAAGCCTGAGAGGGGATTTAATCTTCAAATTGGGTCTTTTGTATTTACCTGTGGTTGTAGTGTGAGGGTTGTGGCAGAGGCAGCTCTGCCTGGGGTGAAGAGATGGGGCTGTCACACACTAGTGATGCAAGAACTTCAACTAGATTACTGCTGATGCTGCTGCAAGTGTCTGGTGGTTGTGGTTTGCTCCTGGGTCCCAAAGTAAACAGATCCATGTTTCTCTGTCTTCTCCAGGTTCTCCGTGGAGGAGCCAGTCAGCGTCCTTTGACCCCAAATCAGAACCAGCAGGGACAGCAGACTGACCCACTGGTGGCTGCTGCAGCCGTCAATTCTGCCCTGGCCTTTGGACAAGGGCTGGCAGCAGGGATGCCAGGTAGGGGCTCCATGGGAGCTGCAACCTCTCCAGTGAGCTGCAAAAGTGGTACCTTGTGTCTCTCTGCCTGGGGTCAGTTTGGCAGTCAGCATGTTGTTTTTTTATTGTGTTGTGGTTTTCATCTGTGGATATACAAGATATTTTCAAGAGACTGTTAGATGTGAACCTACCTGCCTGTGCAGCATTGAAGTTAAATCAGGGTTTAGGTCCCTGTGCCACAGATGAAAACAAATGTTATCAACTGTATTGCTGTACAGGTGCATTAGTTGCTGTGTACTCAATAGAATTGATGGCTGCTATTGAAAATTGCTTTCAGATTTTTCTGTGGCTTTTGCTAGCTTATGTGATCTTTATTTTAAAACCTCAGTATCTTAGTCCCATCCATTAGCCTTGTTCCTCCATCCCTGACTTTTCCAGGGTAGGGACTTCCCTGTGTGATTTCTTCCAGGCAAATACTGGGGGCTTAAAAAAAGAAACGAGGTTGTGTTGTACAAATGATTTTGACATCCAGTTATACAGAATATTATTGTAATGGCAAAGGGTAAATATAAGTATTTTTTTCAATAATGTGTGAGTATGTCCTGCTGCTCAGGTGTAAGACAACAGGATGATTTTGATCTCGGGACTCTTCCCTTGAGGTGTAATATGGTTGGTACATGTTTATTCATTGTCATTTAAGAAGTTAAAAAGTGAACTTCAACGTGCATATTTCCACACAGTCCAGACTTCCTTAAGTCTGCATTATTGGGGGTTTGAGGGTTACATTTGCAAAGCAAATATTCATGGGGAACATTCTGTTTGTGACCCCAACATGAAGAATCACTTCCCTTTTTTCCTGCAAGTTTTACATTACTGTAGAATTACATAGTGAAGTACCTAAAGTCTGCTGCTTTGTGTATCACCAGCATGTTTAAGAGTTTTTATCTATATATTAATGCTGTATTATGTTTCAAAAATAATAAGTTCTGTGTCTTGTTTGCATGAATGTGCACACTGAGCAACTTCAGCATCCAGGGGTGGTAGAGTTGCAAGTGCAGTGTGTTCACACAGGCATAGATTCTTCAGGGTTGGAAGGGACTTCTGGAGATTGTCTAGTCCAGCCCCCTGCTAGAGCAGGATCACCTACAGCAGATCCCACAGGAACATATCCGGATGGGTTTGAATGTCTCCAGAGAAGGAGACTCCACAGCCTCTCTGGGCAGCTTGTTCCAGTGAATAATAGGAAAAATTCCTAGTGCTTGTACCTATAATGAAATGGAAATACTGGTTTTGTATTCTAAGACCTTTCTGGTTCTGTATAACTGATTTTACACTGAGGGCAATGCTAGTTTAGTAGGTTCAGGGAAAAAGAAGTCTTCTCTACCTGAAGGTCTTACTAGTGTAATTTCATACACTGTTAAAATGGATTTATTTTGGTTTTTTTTTTGCTTCAGGAAAAGCAGAGCTGTTGCGTTTTCCATTCAGATTTTTCTTTAAAAATCTCATTGCACCCAACTCATCTGAAGACGATTGCCCTGCTGTGTATTGCATTGCTTGTCACCTTACCTGTCCATGTGTCATTTGCCTCTTCAGGGTACCCAGTACTGGCTCCTGCTGCTTACTATGACCAAACGGGTGCTCTTGTGGTGAATGCAGGGGCCAGGAATGGCCTGGGGGCCCCTGTCCGCCTGGTGGCCCCTGCTCCGGTCATCATCAGCTCCTCTGCTGCTCAGGCAGGTGAGTCCCAGTTCTGTCCAGTGAAAATCTGCCCCATCCCCATTGGAGGATGGACCTGAAGTCCTCTGGGCTCTGCTGGCAATGATGACACACTTGCCCTCACTGAGATCCATTGTGGGGATTGTTGTTGAGAACATCCTCTACGCTCATACTGGGCTGAGCCTCCAGAACCACCTCAGAGAGTGACTGTCACATAAACTCTTATTACTTTGCAGACTTTCACAACAGTTACTTAAATTTGTCTGCTGGCATCTAGCTACCCATGTAAGAAAAGGTTTTTAGCCTGTGGAGAACTCCCAGACGATCACCTTGTGTAAAATGTTACGTGCCTGGCCTTTGCTATGAGTGGTTTTGGCTTTTATTGGGGTTCCTTGGGAGTTCAAGGCTTTAAAAGGATTTTTTTTCAGCCAGAATCTGTGTGTGTAAGCAGTCCTTGCCAGTGTTAGCAATTGATTATGAAACGGGCCTTTTAATTGTTTCTTTGTAACTCTTGTTTATTTTGCTATTTCTTTTACTTTGGAACTGGCTGCAAAACAAAAGTACTTGGGCTTGATGTTCTTAGCACCACAGGATTGAGTTTCATGCACTAAAGGACAATTTTGCTTCTTTCGAAACTTGTGTTTCTTAATTGGATGTTGCTAAGTGTGTGGCTGTATTGATTGGAGTCTTAGATCTTAGGAGAAAGGGAACGTTTTGGTGTGATTGATCTATGTGGCTCTAATAACCCGAGCAGCAGTAGCAATAACGAGGTGGCTTTGTGCAAGACTGGTGGAGCTCAGATAGAAGGGAGAGGGACTTCATGCAGTTTGGTGCAAAAGGGAGATTTGCATCTTGAGAGGAAAGGAGCAAAATCCATAGTAAATAAAAGGAACCTGCTACGTTCTAACTTCCATAACTGCTTTGAAAATGGATTTTTGAAGTCTCTGCTTCCAATTCCTTCCTCTCCAGCGGTTGCAGCGGCTGCAGCTTCGGCCAACGGAGCCGCGGGCGGCCTGGCAGGAACCACAAACGGACCATTTCGCCCTCTAGGAACTCAGCAGCCCCAACCCCAGCCCCAGCAGCAGCCCACCAACAACCTGGCATCCAGCTCGTTTTATGGCAACAACTCTCTCAGCAGCAATTCCCAGAGCAGCTCCCTCTTTTCTCAGGGCTCTGCCCAGCCTGCCAACACTTCCCTGGGATTCGGAAGCAGCAGCTCTCTTGGTGCCACACTGGGGTCTGCACTGGGAGGATTTGGGACAGCAGGTAAGAGGAGCAGCTGCTTCATGGGGAAAGAGGAGAGGAGCAGATGGCTCCAAATGCAGCCAGTCGGATTGTGAGCTGCTGGAGCTGGCTCTGGTGGCTGAGCTGCTGGGCCCTTCTCTTGTCCATATGAGGTTAAATGGGAATTTTTCTTTAGGGACTACTGTGGCTTTCAAAATCTGCATCGTTTTCTGGTGAAAATTCTTTTAGTAGATGATTTATTAGAAGTACCAAAGCAATAAACTTGTTTTATTACACAAATTACCACTCATTCCCCTTGTTGCAAGAGGTTTTTTAAACAGCTTTGGATTCCTTGCCTTTCCCTGCATGTGCTTGGTGGAGATACTGGACTAACAAGAATTGGCTCCAGAGTGGTATCCATCTGTGTGCTAACTTCTTGACCTCAGATTAATGCTTAAGTAACTTTTTGTGATTTTAAAAAACCTGATCTGAGGTGGTTTCTATTGTTGTTTTTTTCCTGGGAATTGTTTCTTAGTACACACAAAAGTCAGTTACTTGCTTACAAGAAATGTTACCTACCTGGTTTGTTTCCATTTGTTTTATAGGCAGTTGGAGACAAAGATAATTATTTGTCTTTTTCAGAATAAAACCAAACCAGAAAGATGTCTGTGGGTTGGGTTTTTTACCTTAGGCTTGTTTTTTTGAAGTAGAACAATTGTTTTAATTACTGCTGAAGTCTTAGATGTAGTAATTATGTCCTGAACTCTCCTGCTTTCATTGCTGTGAAGGGCAAGTTTAAACATGCCTTTTGAACCTGCTCCACCAGGAAAGACTGAGGGACATACTGTCACTGCATCAAATCAGAGTGTTAAATAAAAGTTATTATAAATATTTTTCCTAAACCCAGCCTGAGAATTTGAACCATCTTGGATTCAGTTAAACACACCATTCGTTTCTTTCACTTCAGTTTAAGTAATTGAATTCAATTACTAGTTTGCTCAGTGCCAAGATGCACAAATTTGTTTTCCCTCAATCAATGAATAAAACTGTGGGGCTGTTGCTTCTGGAACTTGTGTGCAGTCATGAAAAATGATTAGTTCATTACAGTTAACAATTTCACTATTTATTAAACAAGATTTTAATGCAAAATTGATTATTTTTTTTCCCCCCAAGCTGACAGTGCCTTTAAAGAGTTTGTATTTGACTATCAAGAAAACTCAAAAAGTTGGGTTTGTGTTAAATTGAATTCTGATTTCCATCTCAATAAAGCTTGGTGCAAACAGGAGCTGTTTTCTAATATAATGAAAAGTGAGCACAAGGATTTCAAGTGAATGTACATGAAGCTGCAAATGCCTCTAAGTAAACAAGAAGAGATAAAATCTCATGTTGGATTTGTTTTAGCTCTAGTGACCAAAGAAGAAATACGAGGCAATGCTTGTAGGGCCATCTAATATCTTCTGTTAAACTAAGTGATATGCTTAGGGGAACAGAGCTTTGAAATACACAAACCTTCTGAAAGTTTCAGAAGCAAAGTGCTCAGTGTTTCTGTCCAAAAGCCAACACATTCACTATCCTTTCCTTCTGTCACTTCTTTTAGGGTAAATTTTTAATCTTCTTGATCTTTCTGCTTGTAGATTTCTGGAGCTGTATTTCTCAATGGGTATATTTCCCTATGGGTATAAAAATTACAAAACTAGAAATGCAAAGACAGGATTCAAGCTAATTTTTTTTAGTCGGCGTTTTTTGCGTGATCATTCACAGCGTGGTTTAAATTAATGTATTTCATTTGGGCACATGCAGCACCCTTAGAAAAAAACAAACAACCTGATGCAGTGAAATTGCAGATAGGTGCTGTTATACTGGCTCTCCAGTTGTCTTGGCAGCTTGTTGGTTGACATCCCACAATTTTACTCTCTTCCTTTTTCAGTTGCTAACTCCAACACGGGCAGCGGCTCCCGCCGAGACTCCCTTACGGGGAGCAGTGACCTGTACAAGAGGACATCCAGCAGTTTGACACCTATAGGACACAGTTTTTATAATGGCCTTGGGTTTTCCTCCTCTCCTGGACCTGTGGGAATGCCTCTGCCCAGCCAAGGACCTGGCCACTCTCAGACTCCACCACCTTCCTTATCTTCACATGGATCATCCTCGAGTTTAAACCTGGGTAAGAGCCCCAGGGACACTGTCCCAGCACTGCAGGTGGCTGCTCTGCTCTCCCGTGGTGCAGGGAGGTGAACACCTCACTGCAGGGGGATGAGGTGCCTAGTGCCTCCTTCCTGCTGTGATTCCTGTGGCAGGGTCCTGCCTTCTGCAGAAGAAGTAGATGAAACACTGAAGCAGGAGTTGTAGCACCTGTGTTTCTCTCTGACAATGGTTCAGCTGTTAGGCAGGAAGGTTTTTGTGTTGCCTCCTTATTTCCTCATCTCTGAATTATGGGTAACATTTTCAAGTGTTTGAAAATCAAAACTGTTTTTCTCCATAACAGCACCAGTTGTTAGGGAGTAAAATAGTTATGTAGGGCTGATTCTGAAACATGTCACGTGTTTTAAAATACCCGTTAAGTTTCAGGTAATAAATTAATGAGCTTAGAATGTCATTTCTTTTAACCAAAGTATGCAACATCATCTGGAGCAGTGCTTAGTTCAGGATTTTGTGGGTTTGCTTTTGAAGATTTCCCATCAATGTGGCCTTATCAAAATCACATTAGTGCTTGGGAGAGGCTTTCTTAGTTTTGGTAAGTTACTTCGTGCAAGCTACATCTTCTGGAAGACCTTTTATTTGGCCCAGAGCTCTTATATACAATAAACCAAATCTTTAAAATAAATAAAGCAAATATTAAATAATAAAGCAATGCTCATCTGAACTTCCTGAAGTGTTTGTTTCCAGGCCTCATAAACAAATGAGATAGGTTGTTTGTTGCTTCTGCATCAGATCATTTAGTACCTGCTCAGAAAACCACTTTGTTCTGTCGTGTGTCTCCCTAGGTTCAACAAAACTTTTGGTTATCGGAAG